TAGGAATGTCATGTTCATCAATCAAGGCAATTAAGACATTTTAGTGTATCTGCAGCTTTCAGCAGACATGGTGTTATCTGAGACAGACATTGAACGACTACAATTTCTGTGGAGCATGCTGCCAGTATCTTTCAAGCTTTATAAGGTCTATCATGCTTAATTTCTGATTCAGTCCAGTACTCCAGCCCAGAAAAGGCTCTTGGGCAAGGCTGTGTGTAAAGGGAGTAACAGCAGCCTGCAAAACAACTGTGGTGAGCCAGTAGAGCTACCACAGGCTGTAAGGCAAGCTTTGGAAAATACCCAGGATCAGAGATGCATGTGATGAGGAACTACTGCTTTCCAAGCAACAAATACAGGGTGTTCCTGGAGTATGTCTGCCACAGTGTCACTCACAACTTGACTCTGAGACCTCCCTGGCACAGAGCACTGGTGGAAGCAGTAATTCATCTGGACTTTCTGTTCTCATCTGATGTGACACCGTTCCCTCACAAAGCACCATGCAAGAAGATTCCAATGAAAAGCAGTGGTCAACCTCAAATTTGACACAGAGGTTTGCAGGTGGTCAAACTAATTTTCTACTGTCACTCTGAAGATCCTGTTTGGACTGATAACATTGCCTCTGTACAACTTCATGAGCCACAGATCGTCAAGGAACAAGCAATAACAGGGTGAAGTGATCAAGTTGACCTCGATGGGCTCACATAAGAGGCGAGCTGGCCAAGTGAAGAGGCTGAAGGTTCAAAATTGCTCTACATACTGGCATTGAAACGTGTGAGTCTGCTGCCATAGCTAGAGATCCACTATTACTGCAAAGTTAAGGTAGTCAAAAAGTATAGAGGCAGGAACAGCAAAATACCCTTGCAATGTTCAGATCCAATCTGTACCTGGGCAGAGGCACAGTGCTTTGTTTTATTTCTCAAAGCTTCTTCTAAAGCAGCAACTATTTTTCTTCAAAGCAAAGGCCTCTTGACCTACCAGAAATACTACATATACCCACATGCAGCAGTGTATACCTATTCAAACAATGGGTAACAAAAACCTCACTAACTCCAGCTGTCAAATAACAAACCTTGAATTCCCTTCCTGCCTGCTGTCAGCACAAGACCTCCAGGCCCCCTCTGACCATGGCACTAGTGCCACAGGTCAGCATGTTTAAAATATGCCCAGAAAGTGGCCCCCTTATCCGAGTTGAATCTCAAGGCTGTTCCTGGATCTCTGGATGCCTGAGCATGAAACAAAACATTTTTCCCTGACATAGCCTTGGGTGAGGCTGTTGTGGTATTAAACTTCTGAAAACAGCTAAAACGAACACACTGAGAAACACAGTAAATACCTAGAATAATAGGCAAAATAATAGGTTTTCATCACCCTCATTGCCCAGATCTTCATAGTTCTAAAATACAAAAACATTGTGACATAGAAAAATTATCCCGAATTCAAGATACTTTGGAAGTCATAATGTAGAAATACATTATTAGGTGACTGTTTCAGAGTCCTTCCCTGTCCCATTTTTTCAACTTAGAGGATCTCTTCAGAAAGTACTTAAATAGCGGACCAAAATAATTTTGCCCCTCAGTTTACAACTTCTAAGTGGGTTGGCTCAGGTACCTGAGATACATCACTAGCAAGTATCAGGCTAATTATAATTAACTTGCTCCAGGAACTAACATCAGATTTACTCTCAAAGGAAATTTTTAAAAATTATTATCAAATTGTTGCAAAGCAACACTGATTAAATTGTGGGGAAAAAGGTCTGTCAAATTATTACAGTCTCAGTGGCATTACTCAAAATTATAAAAAATAAAGACAAGTCCTTGATTTTCCTGACTTTATTTCACATAACACATGTTCAACATCTGTATCAGGCATAACATCTTAAAGGTTTTGAGGATGAGGATGTCAACGAAAACAATAGTGAATCCAGTGCCAGGAACTCTGATTCCATGTATTCATATGTATTCAATCCTAAGTATTCACATGAGATTAATTTTATATGCCACTCCTTCCCCCCTTTAACTATTTCAATTGTGACAATGTGCCTGAAGCAGCTCAGGGAAATTCAACCGACAGGCATAATAAAAGAATCCTTCATTAACTTAGGACTTGATAATACACTTAAGGAGTCGCTTTCATCTTAAAACTTTTATGCCTTTCTATACACATTTTTCTGGTGCAAATCCCTAGAGTTTCCAAGTGCCTCTGCAAAAACTAATTCTTTCTCAGAACAAGCAGCTCCATGACAAAGCAACTATCTCCTTTCTAAAAACTGGGAAACTGAAGCAGTGAAGATACCCAAAGCCGAAAAGAAAGTTATTGTAAGAGTTCAGTAGTTCCTGGCATTCAGCTGAGACCCAGATCAGTACAGAAATGCACACACGCACTCACTTCCCCAGGAATATTTGATCAAATAAAACAAACAGAAAAGGCTTGCATTTTTCATGCCAAGTTCAATATAAACACTTGAGGCTATTACATGCACCCGTATTCTATTTCCTATGATAAAGCATGGCCAAATATGAATTGTGATAAAAGACATTTCTAAGAAATACTTGAAAGAGATTAGAACTTCAGGGGTTCTTACTTGAAGAAAGTGTCTTCCCAGTTTTAACATATGAGATGTCACCCCAACAGGGATTAATGAAGTAAAACACAAACAAATTCCTTGAAGATCATAGATATGATTACAGCATTTCATGATATGACCTTACATTTAACAGATTTCAACCTTAACATGAAAGTGCTAAATTACTGATTCAGTTTTGCAAGGACTGTTCAGAATACATAATCCTATACATTTCCAGTCTGTCTTTTTTTCTTCCCCCACCCCCTGCCCCAGTCTACAGGGAAGAAAAAGCACCCAAACCTTACTACCCTTTACTGAAAAGCCTGGGTGTGTTACAGGAGGAACACATGCCTCCCCTGCCTTGACCCCCCCTCACATCAGCCACCCCTCCTATGTTTAAATTTGCAAACCCTTATTGTCAGTATATTCTACACAAGTGTCAAAGCGAGTTAAATTAATGCATACGTGTATGTTGCATATTTATGAGAACCAGGATAACTGCACAAGTATGTTTAATGCATGAGCCCTCCAAGGAATTTGCTAGGGGAAGTTTACACTCCTCCCAGAAAGTAAGGAATGTGTAATTTAGCAGCATTCTAGCACAGGGCAGGTTAAAAACAAAATGAAACCCGACCTCCTCCCCCAAAGCAAGCCTTCGCTTAAAGATTTTCAGATCTTGCATTTCATATTATCAGAACTTCAGCCAACCTCTGAGCAAATACATGATTTATTTTAAACATGCTTTCGATGCTGCTAAATCTAACTAATGTACTATCAAACAAAAGCACTGGTTTTATCCTGGAGTATACTGGAAATATTGTGTGACAAACGGATCTCTACCTTTGCTATCAGCATTTGCAGGCAACAGGAAATACCTCAGCTGGTAAATCAAGCTCATGTAACCTGAGGTGATGGATACATTCTACTTTTAGACAGAAGGCCACTTGGAGTTGGTTTTGCAATAATGGAAAAGATAACATTTGCTCTGCTTTGTTCTCAGAGTCTGATCCTATAAGTAAAATCCGATCTTTCCAAGTTGTTTACACTCTTCTGCTCGACACTGTTGCCAGCAAGCCTTGCTCCAGCTTCCTGTGCGTTTTTAGAGCAGCCATCTCCAAGGGCTGAGACGGGGAACTGGTCGGGAAATGGGAGAAGGAGGTTAAGAACTACAAATCATGAAATATATTCTGTGCCCTACACTTCGGTGTATCCCTGAAGTACAGAGACAGGACAGCTTCAGGCAAACTGCTTTCTTACCATAAGCACATTAGAGGAGGCACAAGCAGCCTCTTTCTACTCGACAGCAAGTATTTTTATTCAAAGCCAAATATTTAAATCTACCATTCCGTCAAGCTGATTAGGCAGTAGGGGCACAGCCTGCACCCTCGTGTGTGCGTGACTCGCTCACGTTGCGTGCACACAACTGCAGAAACTGCCCTTTGACGTAAGCAGAGCCAGCGGCACCACACCAGGGGGAAATTTGGGGTTATGCAAATGTGCACTTGGCAGTTGATTGGGAGGTACAAGCTCCATCTGCAGCCTGCTTCATCCCATCCCTGGGCACCCTTTAGTAACTAAGAAGTTACAAATTCCCCCGATACCATGTTCCCACAGCAAGGGCACTCTTCTGTCCATTTTCAATTATATCCCTGTTACATCAGCATCTTTGCTCTCTCGTTACAAATTCCCTAATTGTGTACACACATTGCTCTCACAGGACACAGTACTAAGGATTTGTGTGTGTAATACTGTAAGAATATGAACTAAGCAGCTCAGCTGTCATAGCCTGCAATGTTTTCTTTGTACTTTGGCATTCTGTTTTGATGTGTTTTTAGAGTAAACAACAGTATGGCATAACTTAAAACCAAAAATTTTCTTCTTGTTCTATTGCTTTCAGAACAGTTACAGTTCTGGCCAGTCCCTTTGAGTGCAACACACACACAAAAGTAATTGGACTACCATAGTCAGCAACACTTGCTTTCTGTAAGCAATGCCCCCTCAGTGAAGCATTAAGGCTGCACTACAGAGGTAAAAGAATCTGCGTTTCAGTATTTGTATATAGTGGTCATGGCAGGGATCCAAAGGTATTTATGTTAATTTACAACACATTTAGGTAAACGATCTGCTTTTGAAGACAGCCAATTCTGCAAAGGCCTGTTGGAGATCTAAATCTGTTTCTTATTTCCTTTGCCCACCCCACCACCTTTTTTAAGTATACTTCATGGTTGTGAAAGGTGATTGAGAGGCTGACTGGGTATGGAAGCAGCTTACTTGCACGACATGCAAAGCATAGGGACAATATCCATGCAAATTGCACATAGTTCTTCGTAGCATTTTGGTGACAATTCAGAAGTAACTTTATTCAGCAAATGAATGTATAACAATGCCATTTGCAGACACACTTGTCACCAGGGACAAAAAGTAATTTCCCCTTTACCTCTCTTTCATGATGGCCAAGACCCTCCTCAGGGTTTCTGAGATTGAGGATGTGCACTTCTTGTGGCAGGCTCGTCGTGCCCCGGCTTGCACAGCCAGATAAGACTGTAAAACTTTCCAATAAGGCATGGACTGGATGTGAATTGTTAACAGGCGATAAGACACATTCATTGAGAGGCACAGGACCTGCAGAGGAAGACATAGATAGACATTATTTGGAGAAAAAAAGCAGTACATTATTTACACTCAAATAATGATGATCCTTTTGTTCAGAAGACCCACAGGAACAGAAGCAGAAGTTTCGTGTTCGTTCTCCACAAAATGAAGACATTTATTCCTGTTGCCCTTTCAAGTTCTCCTGAATATGCTAACTCATTGGTTTATTTCTCTCTGAAAGTCTAAATTTCAAGTATGAATTCCAAAACTGAAGGTAGTCTTTTGGTTACCATGGAGGGATCCAAGGAGAAAACAAACTATCACCAGTGATAGAAGTCAGAGGAACTGGTTTGTCTTAGATGTGAATTATTTGTTTATGTCAGACATTGTTATCTCCAAACATTGAAAAATGCATTCATGTGTATATAACAATGAAAAGTTAATCTCTACTATAAAGGTAATTACATCAGGAAGGATTTGGGCGAGTTGGATTTGCTGCTTTTGAAGCAGTGCTGATTTATAGTGAACGTCGTTCAAATACATTGTACAAAACAGCAGGCATCTGTCACACGATAAAATGAAATGTTTGTTTACTGAGCCTATTTTGTGTCTGACAGCAATTATCTACACTGATAAGAGATATCTAGTCCAAAACAGAGTGTACACCGCCCTTTCAAATAATCACCACAGCATGATGTAGTGCCATACTCTTATATAGTACGTGAGACTGTGTGATGTGATATAGCAAGATAGCGCAAAAGCTGAAACATACAGAGCAGTTTACATTTAAACTATATCTCAGGAAACTAAATCAAGACAAATATTTATGAAATGCAGCCCTGCTTTTCCAAAACTGCTCAAACCCACCCCTGACAGTAACAGATACAGCATGTTTTTGATCCAGAAGGTCACAGGAGAACATAATTGACTTAACCCCTAATTTGCACTAAAGTCACTCTGATAAGAATTAGACTCACATGAACCAGTTAGTTTAGAGGCTGCCAGGCATAAAAAGGAAATATAAGCTCGAAGCATATTTTTTTTCCAGATAGCGTACATCTGCAATTGAAGTAAAATGCTTCTTTTGAAAAAAGTTCAAAATTAAAGAAAATCCTCAGCTGATCAAATGTCAGAGCTCTGGTTTTGTCAAGTTTAGAGCCAGATATTGTAGCACTAGAGATCATCTGACTTCGGTGTACACGTATGTTTAATTATATTAGCACTGACCTACACTTTATTGGTTAAAAACAGTTTTTTCAAGATAGAGTTTGCAGCTGGGCATTTATTTAGAAGTCAAAGAGACCATCTTAAACCAGACTATCTGGAAAAAGCAAAGCCCCTGAGCACAGGGAAATTTCTGCAGTGCCTCGGGCCATGTGTGCCTTGTCCTGCCAAACAGGCCGTTCCTGAAACCCACCAGTGCATAGTGCATATCCTCCCAGCTCCCACAGAGCAGGAATATTTGTAAAGGCAATACTCAAGGCATAAATTACGCATGCCTGTGCTTGGGGTACAGAGCATAAACAAACTTTCTGCTCTCTAAATGAGGAGCTTGGCAGTAGCACTGACCACCAGCTTGGAGGACTTGAGGTTTTTTTGGTTTTTATTTAAATCCTTTTAAAGAATACGCATACAAAATGGGACCAGTCCAAGTAATGATACTCAGTTTACCAAAAAAAAAAAAAAGAAATCCATTAAAAAGCTGCTCTTTGTAATGTTTGAAGAAATATTTAGAATTTGTAACAATAACACAACCAGTAGAGAGGCCACATTTTCCTGAGGTACAGGACCAGATCAGTGACCCTGCTAACCAATTAGCCCAGCCACTAATGTGTAAGTCCTGCAGCAGACCATGTTATACAACCTGCACAAAAAGCTTTTCTAAACTGCACAAGGATTTCTTGGGCTAGGGAGCAAACAGAGTGCCAAGGAACACTTGTTCATTTAATTGTTTCTTGCAGACCAGAATGGAGTTCATGTTTAAGATGCTTCAATCATAACACATAACACACACAGATAACAAGGTGTAAGACTGAACAAAACCAGAAATGGAGTTGCTGACGAAAATGTGAGTTTTCCTTAGTAAAGGTTCAAGACAAAGAGCTAATACCTCCTTTCTGATTTCCCTGCGAACACCTATTTCAATGCAGTACATCTACAAATCCTCCTCTCCAGCCTTCATTTGGTATTTATTCTGAACGAATTTACCATATAAGTGGAGAAGACATCTGGATATTCCCTTCACTTCCTACAATGACTCATCTACATGAAGATGATGGTGACTGGTACATTCAGGCTCTGACTCCCTTGCCTGCACCTCAAATGTGCATTAAATCCCTCTTTCAAAGTCTTCTGTTCTGCTCAACATGCAAGATGGAAACACTCCCAGAGGGAGCAGAAGTTCACATCCCGGATAACCAAGCGCAGCCAGGCTTATGTGCACAGTGATGGGTGGACCAAGGCATGCCTCCTCTGCCTGCACTCCACCCTGGCAGGACGGGGCCAGATCTCCGGCAGAAACTGTCACTCTGCTGGCAGTGAGCCCATGTGCTGTCCCAGTCCCGAGCAGGGCTCACTGCTGTAGGCCTGCTCTCACACCAGTGCAGCTGCACAGTGTCTGGCCACATACCCTGCTGGCCTGGGCCACCCCACCTCCAGCAGCTCTGTTTTGAGGAAAGGGGTGCACAGAGCTGCTCTAAACTGCTCAGTGTAAGAAACCAATGTTTTCAGGGAGCTACTGCATTTGATAGAGCTGCTTTCAGACCAGCCTCCTAAGTGACTGAGATACAGCCCTTGAAATCTGAACTGAAGATCAGAGTATCTCCTGGAGGCTGCTCCACTGCAGTCAGACCACAGAGCTGTAATACTGCCCATGCACAAGGCATGTTGGTGGGGTAAATAACAGAGAGGTTTCTCCAGCTGTCACATTTTTGCCAAGTTTCACATAGCTGCCTGTGTAGCTTTGTTCTGGACCTATACTACTCTTTCTAGGAACTCAAGACTCTCGTGAACACTATTTCTCTTAAGCATGCTGGCAGTACCAATCCACAATCCTCACACGCTGATATTCGTGTATTTGCCCAACCACTAATCTGGGTGTAGTGCCATGCCCAACATACACTGGCATGCCTGGAGGTAGCGCCAAGTGAAAGGAAAAATTACTTCTAGATCATGAAGTCCACTGAATGCTCAGCCTGTACATAGCACAAGACAGCTCCTTCTGCCACCATCTCCCAGTTCATGCTGTATTTTAGTCTATTCTCACGCTGCCTGCACTCCAGCAATGCTGGAGCTTTTTGCTCAAAATTCACTAACCATATTTCTTTCCAGCCCTTCCTACCATACCTGCAGACCTGCCCCAGTCAAAGAAAGGTAGATGTTGCTACAAGGCACTGTCACTGCAGCGGGAGCAGCAAGAGCTCTCCTCTATCCAAATTAACAGCTCTTGGCTCCTTCACAGACCCCTCCTCCTTATCCTCCTTCCTTCCTGCCAGCTTCCTCTGACTAGAGAGCCAGTTACTTCTATGTAGTTTAAATCCTACAAAAGGCATATTTACCACTCTGAAAAAAACAGAAAGCCCTCTATATGACACTACTAATCTGATTGTTTATCACCTCCACATCGCCTACTTATATTTGAAAGCCAGCATGAAACCACAACCTCATCTTGCCTGGGTTTTATTGTTCCACTGCTCTGCCCTGCACAAACCCCCAGACTGGGCTTTGCCAGCTTCCTCCTACAGCCCCACACTTTGTTCCTGCCAACCTCATCTGGATCAGAGACACCAACATCCTGCCAAAATTCACTATCATCAACACCTTAGGGCCAGTTCATCTGATTAACACACCATGATTGCCTCTTCAGCTCCAAACATGTACAGATATTCTCCTGCATCTCCATCCCATCAAACTGGCACTTAAAGAGTCAAAGGTATCTCCCAGTTTATCCATTCTAGTGTGGTCATACGCCTTTAGCGCCTTCTCTGCTGAGAATATAAGTGCACACACACAGCTATCCTTGGGCTTTTGTTTAACTTTGGAGCATGTAACCACTTAATCTTGTTAGCAAATCCTGGCTCCTACCACAATCAAATTTTAGTTGCTTAATGCCTTTAGAAGATGGAAAGCAGGTGAACCAATTATTAGGTATGTGTTTTACAATGGCAAATATTTTGTGAATTCAGATAGACAATCATTCAGTATTGAATTATTTTTCACTTCCAAATAATAAGAATATTTTAAAGGAAATCAATGCAGACCCAACCTTGTTTGATACTAACACCTGGAACATATTCAATACAACTTCAACATTCTTGTTTCCCATATGATCTATGCTACTAATGAACAACATGTGTTCTGCTGTAAGAAGGTAGCAGAAATGGGAGTAAGACACTAAAGGGGATAATACAACAACCCAAGACCAACACATAACTGTGATGGATTTATTCAAATAGTAAAGGCTAATGTACTTTCTCTTGTATTTCCATGGTGGTTTCTACAGTGTTGTCAGTTGAAAATTGTGAGCAGCTCCTGCAAATTGAGTGAATCTGTGCTGGGGGCTCCACAGCACACTAGCATGGTTCCCCTATGCCATACCAGAGGGTACAAGCCACACCAATGGGATATAACACTCCTCAGAAAAAGGACAGATTTATTCTAATTAATTTTTGAATGAGGGAATGACACAAATCTAGTCATTATATATAAAGACAAAAAAGGCAAAATCCAGACTTGAGGAACACCAGGGATCTCTATGCTGTCAGGTACAAAGTAATATAAATTACTGTAGATCCTGCTAGAATTCACCAATTTATATGCTGAAAAGCACATTAAGATGTGGAAGAGGCTAACTAAAGCAGAGATTTCAGTATGCCCAAATGACAGACTTGCACGAAAGTTCTTTTGGAGAAGGTTAATTTAAGAGCATTCTCTTATATTAGCTAGTAACAATGATGACTGAAACAAGAAAAAAGAAAAAAAGACAGGATCCTCAAACCTCCTTTTGAATGACAAAGGGAAGGGGAAGCTAG